ATGGATGGTTGGATGGTGAATGGGTAGGTGCACGGTTAGAAGAGTGGATGGTGGATGGATGAGTAAGTGGGTAGGTGGATGGATGGATAGATCCATGGACATTTTGGGAAGCTTCTGTGTCCATTTCTACCAGGATTCCCCTCCCTTTCCCTTGACTCCTGCTGCAGACTTGTTCTCTTGCTCCTTTCCCCTCAGTTGGCCTAGTTTGCCAAAGCCATGAACTGTCTCAGAGGTGGGGTTCCTACACAAGCAATTTGGTATTGTTGACTAATTCAGAAAAATCAGATGCCCAGTGTCAGCTGTTAAGGGGACACAGTGAAGGAGACAGACAGTACAGTGGGAGAGACAGATGAAGGAAGATGATTATATCTGCATTGGATCTGGGTCAGAGAGAAGCCCAGGAGTGGGGCCACAGAGGAGGGGCCCATAACCCATACCTTGGGCAGGAGTTCCCCTTAGATCTAAAGCTAGGCTCCATCATAGAGCCTCATCTTAAATAAAGTGCATATAGATGACACATAGCTAGACTGTCAGATATATCCTGAGCTGAAAAAATACCTGAAGAACCAAACTCTTGTGAAATCAAAACATTTTATCAGTCACAGGAGCTCAGATTTGATATTATCAGAGAAATATTTTCAAGACCATGGGGAATGGCTGACAGTATAATTTGCAGGAAGTAGAGCACCTCCAGCTTTCAAGGGAGAAGAGAGCTTGGGCTCCAGATGCTATGGGGCCAGAATCAGGGGGTGGGGGGTGACCCTCAAATTCCTGGCTGGGAAGGGAATATTTGACCAGCCTTGGTCTTGTGCAAATCACATACTCAAAGACCATTGTGGTTTGTTTTTTTTAAATTTTTATACTCCCAGAAGACTCCTAATCAGAGTTCTTTGACATGATTTAAAAAATAATTTTCAAAAGAAGAATGTTATGGATTGAATTGTGTCTCCCCATCCCCAAATTCATAGTGGGCATATGTTAAAGTCCTAACTCTCAGTACCTCAAAACGTGACCTTACTTAGAGATAGGAACTTTGCAGATGTAATCAAGTAAAATGAGGTCATTAAGATGGGCCCTAATCCAATAGGTCTAGTGTCCTTTTAAGCAAAGGAAATTTGGACAAGACATAGAGGGAAGACAATGTGAAGAAACATAGAGAGAAGACAGCCGTCTACAAGCCAGGGAGAGAGGCCTGGAACACATCCTTCCTTAACAGAAGTAATCCCATGACACCTTTATTTTGAAATCCTAGCTTCCAGGACTGAAGCAACAAATTTCTGTTGTTTAAGCCCCCCGTCTGTGGTACTTTGTTACAGTAGGTACAGGAAACTAATACAGAAAATTAATAACAACTCTTCTTTAGATCAAGAAAAAAGACTCCATCCATTTTCTAATCATTGGTAAATTCAAGTATTTCACAGGGCAGTTTATTTCCTCTATGATAGTGTACATGTTTTACACAGATTATATGTATGATGTGGTACAAGACAGAGCATAACCATGCCTTTAAAGTTCTTGAGGGGATTGTGGTGTGTTAAGCATGGGTTCAGCTTAGTTTCACAAATATCTATTGATCCTACCATGTGCCAGGTGCTGGCCTAGAAACTAAGAAAATAGAGTTCCTGCTTTCAAGGAACTCACAATCTGATGGAAAAAGCACAAGGGTATAAACAATTATATCTGAGAGCGATAGTGCAGTGATCAAAATGTGTACAGACTGAAAGTTAACAGGGAAAAAGTGACTAACTCAAGGGAAGGGGGCTGGTCAGAGATCGCTTGTCTGGGAGAGGTGGGGTTGGGGAAGCGATTGGAGCCAAGTTAAACCTGCAATCTTCCCCTTGAGTTTACAAATCACAGACACCTACAAACCTATAAATCAGTGAAATAGGTTGATATATGCCATCAGTCTGAATACGTTTTCAGAAGCTGAAAAATCATTTGTGGATCACTGCAATTTTGTTTAGAATAGCTAAAAAAAAAAGGAAGCATCCCAAATCTTTTTTTAAATTTTTTTTAACATTTATTTTATTTTGAGAGAGAGAGAGAGAGAGAGACAGAGTGCAAGTGAAGAAGGGGCAGAGAGCGAGGGAGACACAGAATCTTGGAGCTCTAGGCTCCAAGCTGTCATCACAGAGCTCAATGCGGGGCTCAAACTCATGAACTGCAAGATCATGACCTGAGCCGAAGTTGGACGTTTAACTAACTGAGCCACCCAGGGCCCCCCCTCCTTTTTTTAATGTTTATTTATTTTTGAGAGAGAGAGCGCACAAGAGGATGTGGGTGTGGGCAGAGAGAGATGGAGACAGAGGATCTGAGGCAAGCTCTGTGCTGATAGCGGGGCTCAAACTCAAGAACTGTGAGATCATGATCTGAGCCGAAAGCGAGTGCTTAACAGACTGAGACACCCAGCTGCCCTGGAAGCATCCCAAATCTTTAATAGACAGTGTTAAGTGAATTATAATATATTCATATAATGGTCACACCATGGAAAATTATGAAACTGTTAAAAATGAGGTAGATTCATATATACCATCATGGAAGGATCTCCAAGAGGTATTTTTAAGTGAACAAATTAAATGTTAGAACGATGCACATAGTATGATACCATTTATGTTATAAATATGAGGATATATGCATAGTTACTTATGTTTGTGAATGCATAGAAAGAACTCTGGCAGGATGTATAAAAATTGGTAACATTAGTAGC